CAAGTCGTAATTTAAAGCAGTAATGGGGTACAAATGAAAAGATTTCAAATTGACAACTTCTTCCATTTCACTGAAACAAAGGTTTATCTATTCCATCTCTCCTTCTTTCTTTCATTTTCTTACTGAAACCAAGTAGCGTTTTGGAAATATATTTTGTCTTCTCACGGGATCAAAAGAAATATATTATTTATGAGGAATAAGAAGGAAACAGTAAACACGTCTTTCTGTCTTTTTCTTTTTTTCTTTCAATATTTCTTTCATGGAACTAAGTAGCGTCTCTGATATGTCTTTTGTTTTTCTATGCGATGAAAATGGAATAGTCCATTATTCTTGAGGTATTTGCAGAACTCAATAGTCGCGTAAACTAAGGAATCAACAAAAAGCACCGTTATATGACCGTCTTATATTTTCTTATTAGATATCAATCTTTTCAAATTAGGAATGTGCATATGTTGAAACCTAGAAAAGGTTACTGAATAAGGAAGAACCAAAACGGAGGTTGGAAATGAAACGGTAAACTTTATAACATCAACAAAATACAATACTCGCCAGCGGCGTGGAGTAGGTAAACCACTGCTAGTGGCGGACTACTTAGACAGCATATTACCCTAATTACAATAGTATCCATCGTATTAATGAGGATTGGGACATACCCATTAGCGTTCATAGATACAGTCGCTCTCTCACAGACGCGCCGTCGCCTCTCTCTGTGTTTTTTACAAATACTTTCATGGTAATTGCTCCGAGGAGCTGCATTCGCTGGTTCCCAGATTTAATAAATTCAAGCGCCCTACGAGGCTGACATCCCGCTCAAACCCTTTCACTGTTGAAGCTATTAAATGTAGCCATCTCTTCTACTCCAATAGCTTCATATCTCGCACCTCTCGCCTGTGGAACTCCCTTCCCTATTCCAGTTTCCCAGAGAGCTATAATCTCCCACTATTCAAATGTAATGTCAATCGACATCTCCAGTTGTCTTGATCTATCCACTATCCTTCACCTCATCCTTTCCTCTATCACTCCTATCTAATCTTGCTCCAAATCTTTTGTAACCCCTTGCGTCCTGGTGGTTTCCCGCCTTGCTTGGGGTGAAACGCTTAAAAAAAATAACAGCATATAGTGTATTCTGGAAGCGGCTAGCTATGTTACATTCTCTACCCTTTGATGATCAATTGTTTATGAGAAAGGAAGCTGTAAACTATCAATAAACCAACAGGATATCTATGACAAGTTATAATTCTCGCAACACCAGTAAAATAGTTATATATTCATATTAATGATTACATTTATCAGAAAATAGTACAATAGATGTATTTAATTTCTGTATGAATGTCTACGATAAGGAGTTATCAGTATTTATATTCAGACTAATGTCCTCTCCTTTGTTGTCGTTATAAGAACGTTTTGTCCGTCGATCAAAACGGTTTTATTCAATTGGCTTTTGATCTAGGAAACCATCAGTGGATTTCGAACTTACATTTTTTACTTGGTCCACCGTCCATATCGAGAGATATTCCTTTTGTTCCTTATTTAGATTGGTTTGGTTTAGTTTACAAAAAAAAAAGATGTCGGCATTAAATGATGTGCCGTATAGCTGATAATAATATTTCTTCAAAAACGTATAGCTGATAATATTATTTTTTCAAAAACGTATAGCTGGTAATATTATTTTTTCAAAAACGTATAGCTGGTAATATTTTTTCAAAAATTAATAACTGGTAATATTATTTTTTTCAAAAAACGTATAGCTGGTAATATTAATTTTTAAAAAAATGTATAGCCGGCAACATTATTCTTTCAAAAAAAAAAAAAAGTATAGCTGGTAATATTTTTCCTAAAACGTATTATCAGAGACCTTGCTGTTGGACGTACATTGTCGTAATACCCAGGACGCGGATGTAGTTTATCGGCATACCCAGGACTCGGATGTAGTTTATCGTCATACCCAGGACGAGATCTATGTTTGGGTATGTGGTTGGACGTATTTTATCGACATACCCAGGACGCGGATGTATTTTATCGTCATACCCAGGACACGGATATAGTTTATCGTCATACCCAGGACGCAGATGTAGTCTGGGTGTTAACTATTTACCCATAGCTGGGACCCTAACAGGTGCTACCACCCCGGGTCAGGGTGGACCTGGGAGCACCAGCAATCAAGAGGTGGTTCCACGCTCGTCAAAACCTCCTGATCACAGGCCTTGCTGTTGGGTGTAGTTTATCGTCTTACCCAGGACGCGGATGCAGTTTATCATCATACCCAGGACGGCTTATTTAATATTGCTTAATTATTTATCACCCTCTTTCTACAGATTATAATTCAAAGGGGTTGAACTGTATCAATAAATTCACATGCGAACGCTTTAATCTATTATGCGATTTCATATGTAAATTTATCTTTTCTTTCAATTTTATATGAAAATTTATATTTCGTTTTGTATACAAGGAATGCGCTTTTATTACCGTTTCCTTTCTAGACGTACATGATGAATGGATATCATAATTTTCAACCATTTATTCTTTTATTTACTCATTTATGAATAGCTATGCAGAGATGGAGGCACGGTGGAGTAATGCATAGCGGCTCGGATTAAGATTTCGAATTCCAGTCGAATACATTACATTCACTTACGTGCTAATACACCCTTGGGAAAGCTATGAATTCTCTTAGCAGGATAGACCGTGTTCTGTTGCCTTGAATGGCAAATAGTCTACTTCAGAAAGAAATGGCAACCTACTAAGGGAAAAGATCTGCCTCGTCAATCATGTATCGAAAAATACATCGCCTAAAGCGTGTATCACGCATGGGACATAACTGACTGTTGCATAGGTTTGGGAATAATAAAGAACCGCTTTCCCGTTGCGTTCTCTACGGTTTTAAAGACAGACTGTTCCTTCTTTCAGACTGCTTGTCTTCGAAGAATAAAGAGGCTTATCTACTTTGCCATTTTACCCGTAGGCGAAGAAAAGACGGATTTCATCGCATTTCATTGTCATGCCAATATAAAACAAATATCTGAGGTGTCCTGACTTGGATCTCCGGTCACCGATTACACCTTCAGCGTCGGGATTCGTTAACCTGTCCACAGAAATAATACCATCTCAAAATAAATAAGCATAATAATCAATTAAGGAAACTTGAGACAAACGCGTCGCCATATTCCTTATCAGATCGAAACCGTTACTGCGTTTGCTTCCTTTTTTTATGGAAGAGGTTAGATTGCTGGTGAACCGGAAGTTATCCGTGATTGGAGTATAAAATGACAGGAAGTGTCGCCGTGAGTAATTAAAAATGAGGAATTTTGTAGCTGATGGGTGGTCGATACCTGATCACTATTGGCTGGGCCAGAGTGGAGCGGAGGTAGGATACCTAAAATCCCGAAACCCCTAATGAAATTAGCCTAAAAACGTCATTAATGTGTCCCAAAGCATCGAACAGATGTATTTCGCGAAGAAAGTGATAAAACGAGAAATCTTAATGAATAAAGTAGATTAAAATCAATAATAAATATAAGTATGGCTGTAATTAAAGAAGGTTTATTTTCTTTTTAATCCAATCTTAGTTGAATAGAATTGACTGATTGATCCTTTTTCTACTCCTTATCAGCCGTTTGCAGGATATTTTAAACCAGATTTTTTTTTAGATTGTAACAATGTTTCTTTTTCATGATAAAAATTTAGTAATACAATACTAGTTAACCCATAGCTGGGGCAGAAGAAGTGAATTCATACATTTCTTAAAGGTATTTACGCGTAAGTGAATATAACAAACCCAACTGAAATTGGACCTCGGATCTCCGATTAACAATTCCGAGCCATTATCCAGTACACCACCCGGACGTCCAAGTTTACTGCACTTGGTAGTGTCAAGCGGACATCCATCTAGGTACTGACCAGGCTCGACATTGCTTAACATCGTTGATCCTACTCTGGTATAGCCGTAGGCTCCCTCAATTGAATTGATAGAAGTGAGATTTAATAACCATCATATTTATGCCTTTTATCTTGTAGAAATAAGCTGCACGGATTTTTAGATAATCTTTCAAAGCAATTTCAACTCGGGATATTCTGATTACTCTTATCTAAAAGAAAAAAAAAACAATGGTACAGTCATTGGAAGAACCATTTTTTTTATATTTCATTAAAAGCCGCTTGCTAACAGATGATAGTTCATGTAGCACCCTTTGTGTAGTGTTAGAAGATATTTCGTAGCATTTAATTCGTCCCGGCTATTCCTGTAATGCAGTGCCGCTTTTGACTTTTCAAGTTAAACAGGTTATGACTTTAACTGCCTGGCTAGTGGATTGAACGCATCCAAGAGAACTTTTCTTTAAGCATTTCACCCAAAGCAAGGCGGGAGTGCCACTAGCACGCATGGGGTTACAGAGGGTTGAGAACAAGAGTAAAGAGGTGTGTTTGAGAAAAGGATTAAGCAAAGGACAGCGAACAAGATCAAGGTATCAGAAGGTGTCCATTGTCATTACACTTGAGTATTTGAAGATTATAGTTATGAGGGAAGCAAGCAAGAGGAAGGGAGTTCCACAGACGGGAAGTGCGGGTGAAGAAGCTGTTTGAGTAGAAGAGACGGTTACATTTAACAGCGAAAGGGTGGAACTGAGATGCCAACCTAGTAGCTCGCTTAAATTCATGCAGTCTGGGAACCAGCGAAAATAGCTCGTCGGAACAGTTGCCATGAAAATATTTGTAGAAAAGACAGAGTGGAGCCACAACACGTCTGTGAGAAAGTGACTGTAGACGAGATGCCAGATGTGGACCTATCACATTGCATATCCGTTTCTGGATTTTGTGGAAGACCTCGAGATGAACAGCGGGAACACTGGACTATATATGGCAGCAGTATTTCCATGCAATGAAGAATGGTTGATTTATAGATTTGAAGGATGGTCTCAGGCAAGAGAAACCTTCTGGCGCGACACAGAGAACCAACTTTCCTTGCGGAAGATTAAACTATAGATTCAATGTAGTTGTTTAAAAAAATGTCATATGACCGAACCTTAATTCAACTGAACTGTTCCTTTTATTTTCTTCGTTTCTCTTTATATCTTTCACTGCCTTTCTTTCTTTATTTTCTATATCATTCCATCTTTTTATTTTTTATTTTTCTCCTTGTTTTTTTTTTTACTCGCTTTCATTCTTTCTTTCATGTTTTCCACTTTTACGTTTTGTTCTCTCTCTCTCTCTCTCTTCCTCCTTCATTCTTTTCCTTTTCTCTATTCTTTTCACTCTTTCATTCTTTTTCTCTAAGGCAATTTTTATTTCTTCTTTCGCTTTTCTCTCTTCTTTTCTATTTTCTTTCACTGTTTCTTTTTTTTTCATTTTGCTTCCTCTTTCAATCTGTTCTTTATTTTTAATCTCCTTTTATTCTGTCTTGTTTCCTTTTAACTTTCATTTGTTTAGAGTCATTCATCGTTACGTTTTCTTCCTTTCCATTCTTCTTTTCCCTTCCAATTTTCTTTCTCCTCTTCCACGCTTTACTCTTCACTGTTTTTCCCTTTCTCTCTTTTCCCGCCATTGATTGTTTCTTTTTCGTTGTTCCCTTATATCCGCCTTTCTTTTTTCTTTCTAGCTTTTTTCTTTGTTTCCTTTTTCTCTTTTGTCTCTCTTTTCTTTCTTCTTTTCTCTTTTATTGCTGTACGTATTTTTCTCTCTTTTCTTCGTATTTTTTTTATCGTTTTTCGGATATTCTATCTTTTTTCCTAACATCTTTCTTTTCTCTTCCTTTTTTTAGATATATTTCTTTCTTTCTTTCTTTATCTATCTATCTATTGTTCTGTCTTTTATATTTTGCTCTTCTTTTGAGCATATGACTTCATTTTTATTTGTTTTTCTGCATTCCTTATTTGTTAGTCCGTTTCATTTTTTTTCTTTCTATTTTTTTCTTTCTTCCTTGATTCTTTCCTTTCTTTCCATTCATTTCTCTTTCATATCGTTTAACTTTTTTTTCATTTGTTAATGTCTCTTCGTTCTTTATTAGATTTTTTTCTCTTGGTAATCTTTTCTTTCTTTTTCCTTCTTGCTTTTCTTTTTCTCTCCCTTCCCATCCTAAATTGCATTGTTTCTTTTTTTCTCTTTTTTATTTATTCTCACTTACTTCCTTTTTCTCTCTTTATATATTTCTTTTAGTATCATTCCTTGTATTTTTCATTTTTTATTTTTTTTCTTTCTTCATTGGCGTTTCTTTTGTGTACTTTCTTTGTAGATTTTTCGCCCCGTCTTTTTTTTCTCTATTTTTCTCACTTTTCTTCTCTCTCTCTCTCTCTCTCTCTCTCTCTCTCCATTGATTCTTTTGCTTTCTCCATGTTTCATAACGCCATGAATTTATCATTCATACGTTTATTCAATCATCTGTTTTCTTCCATTTCTTTTTCTACATCACATTAAACTCGTTCTTTACTTCCTTATCATTATTATTATTATTATTATTATTATTATTATTATTATTCATTTTTTCCCTCTTCGTCACGTTCTGTCTCTCACACGGAAGTCTGTGACGTAGTCTTCTCGTCTCGTAACTGTTTGGCGGCCACGTTTGAATCATGAATAATTGTTACGAAAGCGAAAAAAATCTCATTAGCCAGAGATACTCATTGTGTGCAATTGCTTGCAGTGTCAATTTCCTGCCTGTCAGATTGGGACGTGAAAATCAAACGATCCTGTCGTCTGTTTCTTAATTATGGCATATTATTATCAAACAACAGCCGACAGCCAAAGACTTCTGGGATTGAGCGTCAAGCTAGTTAATTTCTTCTGAGAATCCAAACGCCACCTCATTCTCGTCCGATTGCACCATGAAAGAACATCAACTGGACATACCTTTGAAGATAAAGTGTCGTCAGTAATGACAACGTCAACTCAGCTCTAGAAACCAATAATATCATGATCATCATAAATAAAATTAAACACATTACAACGAATTAAATTACAAATCTCTCAATGTAAGATGTGACATACAACTCTATATATCAGATTAACTGTGAGTAATTGAATGAAAAAATGATAAACCCTGTGTAACTATACTCGTTTCGAAAAAACTTCGCATTTTTGATTTGCCAATAATCAAATCAATCTCGAAAGAAAAAAGTTTTTAAAAGAAGAATGAGCTTTTTTTTTTCTTTTTTTTTTTAAATATCCCATCCCCTTTTAGTCGTTTGAATAAATCTTATAAGGTGTTGTTTTTTCTTGTGTTTTTTCTTGTTTTTCTTTTTCATTGGTCACGTGGTATGGTTTTGATTATCGCCTATAAATATGCTGTTTCTCTTTTGCCTCTTTAGCTAGCTTTCCCTGACGATCCACTTAGGTGAAACCTGGGTAGGTTTGTCTGGCTCACTGGGTTTATATATATATATATATATATATATATATATATATATATATGTGTGTGTGTGTGTGTGTGTGTGTGTAATTATATATATATATATATATATATATACATATATATGTAATTATATATAAAAATATATATAATTTATTTAAATATATATATATATATATATATATAGGCAAAGGATTTAACACACAAACACACACACACACACATATATATATATATATATGTTAGCAACTTTGCCTATATATATATATATATATATATATATATATATATATATATATATATATATATAAATACAATTATATAAACCCTTCCCCGTTATGGAAAGGAATTTTAGCAGGATAATAATGGTATTATCGATGAAGTCTTATACATGTAGGGGGTTGATGAAATACAATTCTACATCGAGTAACTTAGCTTTAAATATAATCCTTGATCGGGAAGCTTAACTTTGTAAATAAATTAAACATTTCCCCTGTTACGAAAGTAAAATAGGCTACCTTTTATTGTTATTGTTGTTAAATACCACACATCTAAATAAAATTACTGCTATTGTAAAATAGGATGTTTAAAAACAATAACGACAAAAGTTGAATGCATCTATTCAGTCGAGTCAAAAATCATTTTTGTATTGAGGATTCAATTGGAATGAGAAAGGATCCACCGAAATGCTATCACAAGTGGCAATGAATAATATATTTTTATAGTACACTGACATTGTTGCCTCCATAACAATTTCAAGACCACATACAGTAAGAATAATAAAGTGGAAGGAGATGGGAGTCGGCTAGTTTGTTCCACACAACCCGCCATATTCACCTGATCATGCACGAACCGATTAATCTTTTACGATCTCTGCAAAACTCTTTGATCGGGAGAATTTTGCGTAATGAAAACTAGATCTAAGAGTTCGTCGAAAACGTTTTCACACTAAAACCGGATTGATTTTATTCAAATGGTATCTGATATAAGTAACAAGTAATTGTCAATAAAGGTGAATACATAATTAAATAAAATTTAGTGATATTTTATTTTTTGATCAATAAATTTGATAAACAACAACGGAATTATGGAAGACTTGATCTTAATAATATATCGAACGTCAAAAATAAAATGAAAAAAGTTACAACTAAGTCTCTCTGTATGGTCAACGTTTTATCGATAGAAAATTATACCCGATGCTTGTATTTTTGATCACTTGTTATATTATGGGATATCTTAAGATCCCAGATTATAACAAGGAATCACAAAATACAAGCATAGTATATCTTAAGATGCCATAGATAAAAAAAAATAAGAAAATTCTTTGTCTGAAGAATGGATTTTGAAAACCAAAGCGTATAACAACGAACAGATTTTATTTTATCATTTTGTCATTCGTTTACACACGATTGCACTCAATAAATAAATTGAAATTATCGAAAAATAGCAACAAAATATGAAAGTGCATATAACGTTTAATGCCATTTTACATTACAACCAATTTCCCGTTAGCTCCATTATATTGAAACGCTTGTTTTGAAAGACGATTCAATAGCTACAACGGATAAATCTAAAAGAAACAAAGCGCATCCACGCGTGTTTTTAAACATAAGCATCATAATGGAATTTTGTAACTGCAATAACTGAAGATGATCTTAGAAAAGATCGAAAATCCTATGGCGCGCCTTCCTTGTTGAATTTCATTTTAAAATTAAGAAACTAATTCGACAACTGAAAAGCATCAGGATGAAAGTAAATAGACACAATATGTCTATATTATTCAATGAAACATCTGTCTTATATATATATATATATATATATATATATATATATATATAGGTAACTATACTCCTTTCTAAAAACCTTCGAATTTTTGATTTGCCAATAATCAAATCAATCTCGAAGGATAAAAAGGTTTGAAAAAAAGAAAGAGCTTTTTTTTTCTTTTTTTAAAAAAATATCCCCTCCTGTCTGGCTCAGTAGGTTTATCTATCTATCTATCTATATATATATATATATATATATATATATATACTGGAAGTCTTTAAGCAATATGTTGAGATTTTGATGCTCCAGTTAATAGGGCACATAAAGTACCGCCCTCTTTAAGATTTAAGCTAGCTTTATACTGAAGGGTTATTCCTCTTGGGGGAATAGTGTTACATCATTTGAATATTCTATGATTTTTGGAAACAATATATCTGAGGGAGTGCTCCATTATGCACGTTAACAGTATTGATTGATCCGAGGAAGGTAAATGAAACGTACTCTGGAATTTTAATATCCAGATCGAGGACAGAGCTCGGCCTGTGGATAACAGGTTGAAAATAAAAGCGAACATTTGGCAAAAATACCCGAGTCTGGTTTGAACACAGAGATCACATTTAAATATGAATGATGCTGACGTACCTTTAGCGGATAATGCATTTGGAACCTTGTCAAAAAACCATAGAAATTAACTTAAAAGTTTATAATTTTGAAGATGAATAGCGAATGTCTAAACCACCCGCAACGCCGATGCTCATTACTAAGTGTTGTGGTCCGGTTCCTTGTACCACGGTGATAGTCCAAGGTAGAACCAATAAAGAAGAACCCGAACACAGGTATGGAATAACACAGATATATTACATACAGGAATATATACAGAGAAGTAGAAGTGTTAGTATGAACAATCATTTTTAGTAGAGAGAAGAATGTAGTCTCGACCAGTATCACTATTCCAATGTCTTGCAGTAATTGTCTGTTTCGGACTGCCTCTGACTCGACTCTTGACTCGACTTGAACTACTGACGATATTCAATCACCCCACCACGAGGGCGTCATGTGGCACAAGGCCTTTTTAACGTGGGATCTCCGAGACCGTGGGCTCGGACAAAAATATACACATTGAACCCGTATAAACGGGTTCAGGGTCGGTTTACCTCCCCGAAAGAGAATCCGCACTTCGACGTAGCCTCCTTCGGGTTCCGCCATGCTCGAAGGCAGAGAGTTCAACCGACCTGTCGTTCAAGACTTGAGCGACTGACAATATTCAGTCACCCCCCCACGAGGGTGTCATGTGGCACAAGGCCTTTTTAACGTGGGCATTCCTGAGCCATTAGGCTCGGCCAAAATAGCCCATTTGAACCCGTATAAACGGGTTCAGGGGTTTTACCTCCCGAAGGAGACTCCGCCCTTCGGCGTAGCCTCCTTCGGGTTCCTACCGCCCGTAGGAAGAGAGTACAACCGTGTAGTCGGTTCAAAACTTGAGCGACTGACAATATTCAGTCACCCCCCACGAGGGTGTCATGTGGCACAAGGCCTTTTTTAACGTGGGCATTCCCGAGCCATTAGGCTCGGCCAAAAAAAAATAGCCCATTTGAACCCGTATAAATGGTTTCAGGGCCGAGTTTACCTCCCGAAGGAGACTCCGCCCTTCGGCGTAGCCTCCTTCGGGTTCCTCCCGCCCGTGGAAGGAGTACAACCGTGCAGTCGTTCAAAACTTGAACTACTGACAATATTCAGTCACCCCCACGAGGGTGTCATGTGGCACAAGGCCTTTTAACGGGGAATTCCTGAGCCATTAGGCTCGGTCAAAAATAGCCCATTTGAACCCGCATAAACGGGTTCTGGGCCGAGTTTAACCTCCTGAAGGAGACTCCGCCCTTCGGCGTAGCCTCCTTCGGGTTCCTCTCGCCCGTAGGAAGAGAGTTGAACCGTGCAGTCAGTTCAGACTCGAACTACTGACTCCCGCCTACTGACTGATGCGCAGTATTTACTAAGTATGAAATAGTCCATTATTATTATGGGTAAGATCCCATAACACTAAACTAATGTGAAAATTCAAACACTCTTAATATGTAAACCGTGGAACATAACAATAATAATAATAATAACACAAAGAAGAAGAAGAAGAAGAAGAAGAAGAAGAAGAAGAAGAAGAAGAAGAAGAAGAAGAAGAAGAAGAAGAAGAAGAAGAAGAAGAAGAAG